CCCTAAAAGTTCCCTTAAAACAAGATCTCATAAGGAAATGATCAAGATAACATCTTTTTACCTCCAACTGAAGCATAAATCTGAAGAATCTCTGGATCCAAAGCCTTCTCTTGATCCAAGCCAAGATGCTCTCCAAATCCCCTCTCAAAATTGCACAAGAACACCCAATTTAGCCACTCTCTCTCTCTCTCACAATGGATGGAACTGATCTAGGGTTTCCCACAGGGCTCTCTGGAGATGATGGAGGCGGAAATAAGGGCTTAAAGCCATTTAAATAGGGCACAAGTTCGGAAAATTAGGGTTTCTCTGCCCAGCGCCTACTTGGCGAGTCCCTCCTCTGACTCGTCGAGTCCACTCATTAAATCCATGCGGGCAATCTTGACTCGACTCGGCGAGTTGGACCCTTAACTCGTCGAGTCTCTTCTTCAACCTCAAGATTAACATATACAATAATATCCCTGAAAATCCGGATGTTACACAACAGGTTGGATGGTCAAATGTAAATAAAAAAAGAAAATTACCTAGATGTGAAGAAGACCAATAGTTCATTACCATCCTATGTAATTATCGTTGTCACATATATACCATGTAAGGTATAACTTTATACAACCGATCATAATGGTTATATCTGAACACTTCCAAAAAATTCGTTACCTGGATGTGTACAAAAAAAAAGAAGTCATGCAAATGTGAATAAAACGATAAAGTAATTACCCTGATAAGTCAATTTTCCTTTCTAGAAAAAGAGGTCAAAATGACATTTTTATGTCTTTTATCTTCCAAAAAAACAAACACTCTTTCGTTGAAAATTCTTTTTGCCCGCATACATAAACAGAGAAAAAAAAAATGCTTTTGCTGAAAAGCAAACACCACCTGAAGTATCTCTTATATGTAAAGGTATATCGACATCAAACTCACGTGAAAATAATCTAAGTATCAAGTAAAACTACCGATAAAGTCATCATAACTCTAAATAACATATCTTAGATGTAAGTCATGAAACCCTAAAAAAATTTTGATTCTTAAAACCGAGACAATCTACTATAATAAATGAAAGTTTTTTTTGCCACTTGTCACACTCTCATTCAATTTGCCAATGTCATTTTGTGGTTATTTTGAATTATTTTTTTCCACGTGTCATTTTATGAGTTTTTTAATATTTTAATATAATAATTACAATAAATGTAGTAATAAATGTATATCAATTTCATTAATCAACTTACATATTTATTTCAAAATTTCCAAAACTAAAGCCCAATAGTTTCTTTTGTTTGTTTATTTAAATTATTTGTTTAAATTTAAAAGATAAAAAACATTTCAATTATAATAATTTATTATTTTTCTTATTTTCTTATAAATTGAAAGTTCTCAAATATTTCGACTTTTATATTTTACTTGTTTTTTAAATTAATCCATGTAATACATGAGTCTCACAACTAGTCAATTATAAATTAAAAGCATGAATAACAACTACCAACTTCTTAAAACCTAAAATACTCATTAAACCCAACAAATAATCTCTCTTTGTTTTCTGGACAAAAAATACTAGCTAGGTTGATCACTTGAACCGCTCATAATGGATTTCGAAGTTTTGACCGAGGTTTGACTAGTCTAAGATGGAGGGTTCTATGTCTAGTCTAAACCGCTAGTCTCAGGTTGATACCCATTTTCAAGCTTTGATTGGTCTTTTACCGGTTCCAGGTCTACCCATTTTCACCCATGTATTTTATGAGTATCAACAACTCATGGTTTAATGAATTATCTTAAAAACATTCAAGAATTCAAACACTATTAGATGAATTATAAATTTATAAAGCAATCGACTACGATTGTAAATTTGTAATGTAAGGGCGTGTTGCGGAGTTCATTTGAAACTCCTTATTAATTTTTTGGACAAACCAAGTGTTCCTGACTTTTTGAAAATGTCATTTTATGCTTAAAAATCGGTCTTTTACCAAACACCTTTTTAATTTATTGACTTTTTTAAAAAAAAGCTAATATATTAATTAGTAATTATAAAAAGCAGTCTCAAACACCTCTTTAACTATAGAAGGAATTGTAAACTTTGATATTTTAAACAATAAATGTTGGTCAATATACAGTCTTAGCCACAATGGCAAATTAGAAGATGTACCAACGGTCCAAGCTAGTATCATAGCTTCATAATTTTTTATTTTTTTTTCACTTAGTGGCATAATATTAAGTTTAAGAAGATGTATGTTGATGTATGAATCCTTGAAAATGTATGTGATGCTTAAAAACTATTATGATTAGATGGATAGAGCACAAAAGCACCTGTATATTGAAGAAAGCTTGACCCACATTGAAAAATCAGATTTTGAAGACGAAACGGAAAGCTTATTAGCGGAAGTGCCATCATATAATAACACCACTATTGAAGATATCGAAAAAAAGCTTCATTGCCGACACTCAAGAATGAAGTGCAAATTATGCAGCACGTATAATGTTCAACGCCGGCCCAGCTAAAATACGCAGCATATAGCGAACGACAACTACAATCATTGGAATTTCCCTCTATATATTGTTTCAATAATATGCTTATATTTTATAACTTATGTAAAGTTACAAAACAGTTTATACGTTTTTATATTAATTGAATATCAAAGTGTTTATATTAAATTTAAAAAAAGACCGGACATAACAAATAAAACTGAAAATGGACCGATTTTAAAGTTAAATACTCTTGTGTGGTCCGGCGGCTATAAAAGATCGTCGATTGAACTGTTGTAGACCGAAACCAGACCAGAAGAGACTATACCGAAAAAAGACAATGTTAGGACGGTTGGAGACCAGACCGGTCTCAACCAAAACCGATTCTATCAAAATCTAAAAAATATCAAAAAGCGTGGGACCGATCCAAGACCGATTTTGTTCCCCTCTATTGGTAGCTATACTTCTTATTGGTGATGAAATTTAAAACCAGAAAACCGGATCAAAACTGGAATCGGACCGGAACCGGAATCGGAACCGTTAGAACCGGAATATATAGAACCGGTTCCGGTTCCGGGTTTAAAAATTGGCTTTATCCGGGTTCCGAGTAATTCGGGTTCGGGTCCATCGAGTCCGGATAAACCTGGTCTATGAACCGGAACCGGTGTTAGGAACCCAAACCACTTTTAGGGCCCGTAACCGGTTTCTGTGAAACGTTTAAAACATGCATATCTCATTCGTTTCAAGTTGGATTGACATACGGTTTTTTCCAACGTGTAGTTTAGAGTTTGTACATGATTTTAGGCTATAAATTTGTAATTTTTAGTTTTATATTCATTGACTTACAGTACCAGAAAGTCGAGTTATCAAAGCTGGAAGTTTTTAGTTTTCATTTTTTTTGTGTTTCGTGAAAATTTTAAAGCATGCATATCTAATTCGTTTAAAGTCAGATTGACATGCGGTTTTTTCCAACTTCTAGTTTAGAGTTTGTACATTATTTTAGACTATAATTTTTTAATTTTTAGTTTAATATTCAATGACTTACAGTCTCTCGAAGTCAGGATATCAAAGTTGAAAGTTTTCAACTTTTCAACTATTTATTTTTGTACTTTGAGTTCTGTGAAAACGTTAACACATACATATCTCATTCGTTTAAAGTCGGATTGACATTCGGTTTTTTCCAGAGTGTAGTTTAGAGTCTGTACATGATTTTAGACTATAATTTTGTCAATTTTGGTTTCATATTCAATGACTTATAGTCCTCCGAAGTCGGTATATCAATATAAAATTTTTTAAAGTTCAACCCACTAAGTAGTAAGTAATTACCAAAAGATTCCGGTTTTTTCGGATTTTCCGGTTCTAAACCCACTTTATCCAGTTCCAACCTATCTACTTTGATGTTTCCGGGCTTTCCAGTTCTAGACCCACTTTACCCGATATTGTACCCGAAACCGGTTCCTATATACCGGTCCGGTTTCCAGTTCTACAAAATTCCGTTAATCGGTTCTAGGTTTTCCGGGTCCGGGTCCATCCAATCTGGGTTTGGATCCACTTTTATCCCTACTTCTTATGCCAAACCCATCTACATGTAAAACCTAAAATAAGAACAAACCAAATTATTACCTCTATAGTCCGTGGAGCTATGGCAAACACAAAGCTAGGATTTTCGATCAAATGTGGAAGAAAGAGGAAAGTAAAATCAAATATTTCTCATTTTCACCTTATTATCGTTTTAAATATTAACTATGACTAAATAACCTGCATGGTCTCTCAATTATCAAAGCACACGTTATCCTCAACATACATTATTATTTTCCTATATTCATGCGTCACTAAAATATTAAACCCTCAGTCAATACATATACCACCC